CCCCAAGTAACACAGCAATTAATTAAGCAACATATGTAGGTATGTAGAATTATGGATTTTATCTACATCATATCATGAAGTGGACCAGAGCTGTAGTTCAGCTGCCTTCTCTCTCATACTGGCCAGGTGCCAAGCACTTCAGCTGGAAGCACTGGAATTGCTAGATTGCAAAAATATACGGGAACCCGCTAAGGGTAAGCTGCTGCTTTTTCTGACAGAGCATAATCGACCAATTCCTGTTTAACAGAATACATAATATCTTTGTTATTCATTTATCCAAGATAGCTATCAAAGCATTTAGCCTTTTCTAAAGGCTGCTGAATTCCTGGGCTTCATGGTTCAGGTTTGAAGTGTCTGCTATCAGGATTAATGTTGTTACCCTTTCCCCCTTCTGCTAATTGAAGAATAAAATCTCAGTAAAGAACGTAAATGTTTCACCTTTTCTTTGCCATTGACTTGATAAAGCAGCTACCCTTATTCATCTTCTGTCTTGAACAGATCTCTCTTGCTCAGAGAAAACTCTGTTTTCTACTCATCCCCACGTTCTTTCCATGTACTATTTTTTTCCTCATTTTCCATAATGACAACTTTTCATGAAAACAAGTATTTGGGCATATTTAACCACTATGGCTGTACAAGCACAGAGAAAGGGTGAAAAAATTTTCTTTTTCTTTGTTAGTCTCTCAACACACTTCTTTTAGGTACACCTTTTCTAAGTTGGCACAGGAGTAGTAAAATAGGCTGGTATTGAGCCCGCAGTCCTTCAGAAGTGCTGCATTCCCTCTCAAAATCCCACAACCAGCTAATCTTTCAACAAAGCTGTCAGCCATCTGCCAGGTGTTGCTCTGCAGAACTCTGTAGGCACACATACGCCTGTGGCAATACAATCTCTCTGCCAACCTGCCACATAGAGGACTGGAGATATTAATAAACCTGTATTGCGCAATACGGAAGATGAATTGTGTCAAATTGGTGTATTATTGGTGAGCTCCAAGCCATCTTGCTGACAAAAACTGACTTTTTTTTTTTTTTTTTTAATCATTACACCGTATATTTACCACAGAGTTGCTGAAGACTGCAGGGCCAACAGAGGGGTGCCCACACACATACCCCACCTGAGGTGCAGCCAGCAAAATGCCACAGGCATGTCCTATTTTGTTCTCTGCAGCCACACAGCTGATACATGCTTCTAACACTGCTTTTACACACACCCATCTGACAAACAAAGGAGGCCAAATCTTAGCTGCTGTAAAACGAAGTAGGTCTGGAGGGATTAAAAAGCCTAAACTAATTACAACACCTGAGGTCCTAGTATTAAATCCCTCTTGAAATACCCCAGAAAGACCTCTTGTAATGAAGTGAATAAAGCAATTTAAAATCCCCAAACATTCATGAACTCAGTAATGACCTATTTTTCTCACCTTATAAATAAATGTTTGAAAACATCCCTGTCTGAATACATCAGGTGTTCTTCCTATGTAGATCAAAAAGAATAGCCCACAAAGTGCTACCGTGCCTGTTCAGTTAGTGAGATGACACATCTATCAGTTAGCAACAATGAAAAAATACATTTAAAAATATTGATGCTATAAAAGAAAATCAGTAAAAAAAGCAATTATTCTTTTCTACACATACTAATGTTTCATCACCTTTTGATTTCTTACGCTAAACAGTGTTACACACAAATACACTGATGCATCTAAGTCCACAGTGTTGAAAAAAAGAAATTAAATCTAGTTTCCCTGTTGCTATACTCTTTGGATTTTTTTTGCATTACACTGTTTTTTTTTTTTTTCATGGGAAAGTATCAACTAATCAGTGTCAAAACTGTTCGTAGATCAGCTTCACCCTTAGGGTCTCAGTGCCGTAATACTCGAGTTCTCAACACTGAGAACTCAAATTGTGTTTCAAACTTCTGCTTTTACTCTTTTTTTTTTTAAGCTTCAAAGTTTGCAGAAAAACATCCACTGATTGTTTCATAAGTGCCTGTTACTGCAAACTCTTCTTGAAATCTCACCTACAGAACTCTTTTTAAAAACATCAGCAATCGGGCAATGTAGGCAGCAATCACACGCATCATATTGATCTACTGAACTGCCTGTTCAGCTCTGAGCTACTGACAGGGCCAGCTGCTGTCATGGAGAGCAGCATACTTCCAGATTTTCCTTGAGGGCAGGATAGCAAATTCTGGGCTTGAATTAGAAACATTTGGTAAGAAATCTGCACAATAGTGCTGGACTGTGAGGGAACACTATGTCATCTTTGTTCATGGCATTCGAATCAAATGCAATCTACAACAACAAAAAACCTTTGCTTATGGAAGTAGCTCTCAGCTGGCACTGACTGACTGGCTTAGCAGGCAAGCCTAGCAGTCAGACACCCCATTTCACAGAGACAGCTCCGTTCACACCCAGTCCGAGAATAAAACTATTTGATTTGCATCCACCAAGTGCACACTAGTAAAATACTTCCCTTGTACCATGGGAAATGCACCTAGGCTGAGCGTTCAGCACTTGAATTTGGCTGGGGCATTGCTCATGACCTGCGTACTACATCAACAGCCTGATGACTACTACACATATGCCCCTATATGTAGCAGGTAAAGCGGATGGAGAAGGCAGGCACGTGGCAGAGCGTGAGCCTATGCACTGGAGGAAGCAGGAAGCAAATTTCTCTGTCCTCTCTCTGCTCAGCTTTAGGTAAAGAGAACATTGACTGGAGAAGTACAGCAGATCTCTCCTCTTGTGTACAGATTTGACTATGTGGTGAACCACAAAAAAAAAGAAAAATCTGGTAAAAGTTACATCTAGTGTAACCAAAAAGCAGGGGGCCCTGCCAGCTCACCTGGCAACAGTTACCACAGTTCCATGCACCTGAACGAGGGTATTTAAGGCAGCTCTGGTCTTGTGTAATTTTGTGCCCATTCTTCAAGGCTCTTTCCTAACATTTGACTGGAGGCAGCAACAGCTACAGCTGAAGGCAACCCCTCAACCTGCAATTGTTCTCAAGCCACTTGTGAAAGACCCAGCTAGTTGCCCTAGTTACTAGATACTCTCTATCTCCTGCAGTATGATACAGAGGACCCTGCTCCCAAAAGTCAGCTCAACTATATCCTGGAGGAATGGGTAATTTCCTGAGAGATGGACCTACCAAATTTGCTAGAGCAAAGCAATAACTCACTCAGTGTTACTGCACTTGGAGGCAGTCTTTCCCTTTTCACTGGGATGCAATCAGAACTGCAGCGTGGATCATGAAGAGATGCGTGAAGGTCTGAGGGACACAGGCTGGCTGGCAGTGGAAGGGAGAATGCCCTGGCTGCAAAAGCTATGGATGAGTGGTACAACCCCGCCTTGCAAAGCCAGTGTCAACGACAGACTCTGCCGTTAGCTGCAAGAGCAGTCTGAGAGTTGACATTAACATCTTCCCCTTCCTGGCTGCTCCAAGCTTGATTTCACATCCACAGCTAGGAAAGACAGCCTCTCCTTGCTCAGACACAGAAGGCACCATTTTGCTGCTCTTTCATCTGCGCCAACAAAATGGTGATTCTGGAAGGCACGCATTTTAGAAGATGACATCTCTCACTCCAGACAGCTGGTTCTTTTGCAACTACCCACCTCCTCCACTTGTGAAATACATGTGAACAGAGCAGAGGAAGGAAGAATCAGAGAGAAGCACCCTTCAAGCAATTCACACGTGCTCATAAACCCATTTCATATTTGCAGGCCAAGAAAGCTAAAATCCAAACATAAGACCATGCCCTACAAAGATGGAGTTGTACCAAAGGTGCAACTTATTTCATTCGATGGGAAAGCCTCTGGCAGACAGAAAGGAGTTGTGTTCTCCCCTTCATGCATTCATATGACTCCCATTAGTTACTCAGGAAGAAAAAAAAGTGTCATTATTTCCAAAGGCCATCACATGATGGCTGAAGCCACACATCACCTCTGAGAACACAGACGTGCTCACCCTGGCTCGAGACCCCATGAGGCAGCGCTAATTAGCATCTTAGCAAACACATCAGGCGGCCAAGGCCTCCTGGGAGCCCTTCCATGGCCCTTTGATCAGCCACACTGCACACATGGTGATATCACCCAGGGAATCCCTGCCTAGCAAGCAAGTGGAGAAATTCTCTCCCATCCATGGTGACAAGTTGCCTGGCTGAATCAAAGGCAGCCATGGCTGTGGATTTTCTTTATTCATGCCTGAAGTGTCATACCTACTCCCCTCCTAGAGGGAAAGACAAAATATACTAGGTCACATATGCTCTGAAGGCAGGAGCAGAGAATTTAACTTCTTAGTGTTCCTCAAGAGATTGTTTTTTTTTTTTTTCCCAGCAATAAATTAGTTACACATTTTCCCTCTCTTGCTTTATTAAAACACCATACTCGCATTTTCTTGTTTCTTCCCTGTCAAAGCCCCTCTCTTACTCCTAAAGCACTCTGTGTTCTTGCTTGTACACAGAGACATACTCAATAATTGGAAAACGATTTGATCCCAGAGGTGTTGAACACCTTCAATTCATCTGAATTTCAAATGAAACGGAGGTTCATGGCACCCAGAGCTTCCCCCAATTGCCCACTCTTAAGCAAGTCAGTGCAAACAGCCAACCAAGCATGCACTCTGGAGATTAGAGCCAAGAAACAGTATTAGAATTATTTAAACCACATGCAATTTGACACTGCTCTTCGAGCTGGTGATCAGATTTTTTTCACAGCACACATAAAAAAAAAGTTGTTTCTAAGAGCCATCAAAAGACAGTGTAGCAGATAGACAGTCTTTTTTCCAGCTGTGCTTTTCAGATCCAAATCATTATTTCCAAATAGTGACTGAAGTGGAAAAGAGAGAAAGAAAAGAAGTTCCTTTTAGACTGTGAAATTCCTAGTTTCTTTGAAGTGTAGGGTAGTCTAGCTTAATACTCGAGTGACCAGCCACCAATAAGTAAGTTATCCTGAAACACCCAGGGACTTAACAGTTCTAAGAGCACATGAAAGTAACTTCAAGAAAAAAAACAATTAATCTTCTTCCTCTGTATGACAAATAAAATCAGTACCCATCCAGTTTTTTCTTTCCAGTTTCTCCAAACTTTCAGTTCTATATTCAGGACAAAATTGCTTTCCTGTTGGTTTTGGCAAGGGAACATGATCACACAAAGACATACCCAGCCCACTCAGGTTTCCCTCACTCTTGTTTCACTCATACGATCAGCCATCACACAATCCTACCTTCCCAGTTGTCATCACACAGCGCTGTCAAATCCAGCCGAGGCACTTCTGACACAAAGCTGTTTTCCTGATCATCAGCATCTTGATTTCTTTGCAACTTGTTTTCGGGAATGCTTGGATGCTCTTGAATCTTCATACTTGAAGGCAGCTATATTCCCATACACCCACAGAAATGAGAGAGAAAGAAAAAAAAATGTTTCAGGAGGCAGAGGACGAAAAAAAACCCTGCAGTCACAGCAGCAGTAAGCTCATGCCTTTAGTGAAAAAGATCCAAATAAACAGACCCTGACTTCCAGCTCCAAATCAAAATTCCCTGCTCGGTGACCCCTACATACTAATTGCTCACTCACACCAGTAAAAACATCCGTCCATCTGCCTTCCTCGAATTTTTCATTCTTTAGAAAGCCACTGCAAGTTCCCGAGACTGCCTGCCCTGACAACTGCATGCAGCTGAAAAAGCCTCCAGTAATCGATTGGGATGAAAAGGGAGGGAGGAAGGCAGGGAGAAAGGAAGAGAGAGAGGGGGCGGCTGCGTATACTTCCTACAGGAGCGCAACTCCTTGGAGCAACGACAAAAACGCTGCTGCTGTTGTAAGGCTGTAGCAATATGGTGTCTTCTAAAAAGCAGGCACCGGAGCTCCTGAGGTAGCAGCCGCAGACAGAAAGCAGTGCAAGCTACCTACATGAACGCTCTCACGCGGGCTGTGCTGGCTCAGATCAATTAGTGCCAGCTAAGCTGTGCTGGCTGCACATTCCCCGATTTCCTGTGGTTGTTTTCTAGCTGGGCGTGGGGAGAGCAGAACTATTTATGGAGGAGCTCTGGGTATTAAAGCAGTGTTGCGCAAATCCAAATGGCAGTGGGGGTTGGCATCTCAGCTGGAAGCAGTGTGGACTCTGGGAAAAAGCCAAAAAACTCACACAAGCATCCAATGACTTAGGAGGAAAAAAAAAAGGCAGAATGCTGTCAAGTAAATGATTCATCGTTTAGCGCTACCTAGAAGCAACTGCTGTTTGTCTTGCCACTATTCACCCCTGCACATACCACACGTCGTGTGCATTTATGCAGAAATCACTGCCATTCCCACAATCCAGATACACAGTGCGCGTGTCTGTGATAGTGCTTGATGACACGAGCAGTTTTGTCACTTTAAAATAAATCAGCTGTAATGCCTCACAGAGGGCAGTAGGGAAAAGGAATTTTAAAGCATGTACATAAACATACAGTGTGATATGTATAAACTCACCAACAAACACAGAGCTACCTGAATAGAGGGCATTACATTACTACATACACTATTTGATCTTGGTAAGAACAGCTTAGGCATAATTCTCTCAAATACAGTCTAGCAGGCAGTCAACATGCAGATTTTCCCCCTGCAGGTATTTTGATAATCTAGTTAGCAATCTGCCCACGCTGATGTGTGAAGAAAATGGGCCTAAAGAAAATAACTGGTACATTTTGACGTATTTTACTTGTGAATTCAGAAGCATGGCCAAATCAATATCCTTAGTACATGCCACTAAGGCACACATAATTTTTTTCATCTGCATAAAGCTAGTAATGTGGGTTTTTTCCCCTTTGAGCAGAGAAAAAACAAGTAAGCTTCATGCAGAGAGGGAAAAAAACCTGCCCAGTAGACAAATCATACGAATAAATGTTTTTATCTGGATTCAATCCCATCAATCCCTGCAACTGGACAGGGTGCTGGATAATCTCATCTAGGCTCCCTTTCCCACGAAAGGTTGGACGAGGTGATCTTTTGAGGTCCCTTCCAATCTGGGCTGTTCTACAGTTCTAAAAACATAGGTGATGAACACCCTCATATTTGTAAAGAGTATTCTGCATTGTATTTGTATAAGGTTTGTATTTCCTTTTCATTTCAATAAATCATCTTTTTGAAACATTGTAACAAAAGGAAACACTAGACAGTTTGCCAAGCACTAATAACTCGTACAGCTTGACACTAAATCTGATTACAAACGTGTTTATTGTGAAAGCTGTACATGGAAAAATGCTAATTCACCATTCAATATCTTTTAAGCTGCTTCCAGGTTGGGAGGACTTAAATATTTCTTTAAGGTCCAGTAACAAATTTCTTGCCAGGATCTAAATAGTCAGTGTATATTACAAACAGAAAGACTGGTCAGTGGCCAGAAATAGGCAGTCTTCTACATTTACTAAAGAACAAACCGTACCAGTTGATAAACTGCATTTAAATTGCCAGCACAGTATTTTAAGGCTGAAAGAAATAAAACAGTAAGTTTCAAAATATGTACTATTTTTAATAACATCAAGAAGTGTGAAGAAAGGAAATTTAGATTTTTAGACTTTAATAATTTCAAAGGAGCAACCTGAAAATACCATCTCGTCACCAACACTGATATTAAATCACAGAGTTAAATGTCTTTCTATGAAGAGTGTACAATCTCCTGGCTTATTAAGACTCTTAAGACGTGTCTGTAGCAGATATAAGAGCACTTCCCAGATGGGTAAACATTTCCATTACAGATATATTAGAAAGATCCTATCAATGTCCTCTTCCTTCTAAAATCACTTCAGTTGTTGGAAATATTGAAAAGCTGTTTAAAAACAGGCCTGTGCTGTGCCTGCCAGCCAGTTACTCTCCTCTCCTTGCTCACTGATGTAGCCTCTAATACAATGAATAAATCATCAGACATTCTGAAGAACAATAGTGGTACAAACCCAGGAGACTCAAGAAAGCAGATGTTTAACCTTCTTTGCATTAACACTCTAAACCCATAAAGTGGTAGATAACTCAGTATTCCCACCACTTATTTTCCTATTTGATTTCCTGATGCCACTACTTGCCAGCCTCCAGGACAAAAATCAAGTAAGGGAGCACTACTGTGCTTTAGGTACGGATGTGCCACAACTTCTTACAAAACAAAGGGGCAGCAAGTTGATAATCTCAGTAGCAGCTGGCAGTCACAGTGCACTGTGGATACTACATAAAAGAAAAATCTTCAAACTAGGCTCTTGAGTTCTGCTTTTCAGAGGCTGCTTCTGCACCCATGCTTTGCAAGTACCAGTAACTACAGATCCAAGTAACTTACGAGGTAAGCCAGCTGCTTTCATTCTCCCTGCTCCAAAGAAGATTCAGCATAAAGAGTAGCACAAGCAGCTAGAAATAAATGGCAACAGGAAAACCTTTGAATTCTGATCAGGAAGTTGTATTCCGTTCGATTACATGTGGATTCAAATCAATTTTATTTCAAAGACTTGCTTCCCTTATGTCTGATTAAGCAGAAAGCATCCTTAAGCACCTCTTGGTAATACAACCTGATGCAAGAATGCAGCTATTCTGCTGCCTTACTCCTGAGTCATGCCAATCCTCTCTACACTTGTTGCCATGTTGATGTGAATCTTAAACACCCTTCCCTTATCAAAACCTGGGTACTAGAAACCTCTGTTTTTCAAATCACAGTCTACATTCTGGAGCTTAGCTACCTCCAAGGGCATATTATGAAGGCTACAAAAGCCCTGAAAATTCATTTGGGATGTGTGTTTCATGGTATTTTTCCTGCCTCACAGAGACCCGAGTCTGCACAACTGGTAGCTATGGCAAATTCCAAATACGTTTCCTAATATCTTCAGACTGGAGACAGGGTAAGAAAGAGAAAAGGGTAAGAAAGTCCCTGTCCGTTCCTCATTGTGAATGAGTTGTTTGTTATGAAAGGTACGTCTCTAAGCTGCCCTAAGCAAAAGGCTTATAAGGGACAAGGAATGTAAAACTACCCTGCAGGAATGTAACATTTTCTTGGCCTTGTAATTCCTGTATAATACAATCTCTGTGTTAAGGCTATGTTTTCTGTTGCAGTTAAAATTCTAAATTTTAAAACTCTTCCTAAGGAGAGGTTTATTTTAAGATCATGATTTCACCTTCCAATATATCTCCCCCAGACCAATTTAAAAGCTTGATGGGAATATTGTGTGGCATGGCGGTGACAGCGCCTTCTCCACATGCAAGCCGGTAAGTGAGGAACAAAGTGTTGCAAAATCCATGCTCCGGAAAACAGAACAGCTCACGAGCAAGTGCAGGATCATTGGGGATTACTGACCCTCTGGGAGCAAAGTAGGAGAGCCATCTAAGCCCAGTCAGAGCAGTGATCAAAGGCAGCACTGAACACCCCTTGCAGAGGTTCTATGTTTCAGTGTCCCATGAACTTCAACCACAACACAGCTGGTCAGAGCCCAGCTGTTAGCAAATAATCTCTTTTACCTTTCCCGCTAGATGGAAATAATACCTACCAGAAATGCAGTCTTTCAAAGACAGTAAATGCATAGTGACTTTTATTTCTAAAAAAACACAAGGGAAGACTAGTTTAAAAATACTGTCAGCCCTCAGTTAACTCCAGACGGCCAGAGAAATCAGCTGGTTTACTGTGCTACTCTAAAATGGGTGCACAACTGAGGGAGAGGTGCCTCAGACAACTCTCCCTAGTATTCTAAATGCTTGGCTGCCTAGCAGTGTTTCAAGCAAACCCGAATGGACCGGTGACTGCACACACCTAACTCAACCCCAATCTTTGCTTTGCTGAACAGTTAGATGAAAAACACCACAAAGCGAAACAGGAGGTGGGTGTTGAGCAGAAACGAAAAGTTGGGGAAAAAAATATTGCTGTCAGTGTCACATCTCCTCTCCTGACATCCATCCCAAACACCAATGCTTAGAGAGAAGCAGGAGATGATCCTGTTTTCTAAGACAAATAGATCACAGACACCTATGTTGAAAGGCAACAGGTCACACTGGAAAATGACAAATGAAAGACCAAATGATTTTAGAGAAATCAAGAGAGACAAGTTAATCTCACTCTGCTGGGAGATAACCAATCACACACCGTATTTGCAATGATTAATAAGGGAACTTGGCATCACTTAAACCAAAGTGCTGACTTCAGTGACGCTTCCCTTTTTGGCAAGGAGGGATTGAAGGGACTGAAGCAGATGCTGTCAGACTCCTCAGTGGTTGAGAGGCTCCCTAAGTTATGTAAATAAAAAGCAGAGGGAAGGGAAAGAAAAAGCAAATGCTAATTCCATTTCTCTGGGAGAAACAAAATTTCACAGAACTGTGTGACTAACTACTTGTTTCTACTCAATAAAAAGCCCATTTAGAGACCACAAAACTGAAACGCAAAAAAAAAATACCAACCTGAGCGTCTCTGAAAAAAACCTCATCGTTTTCACTTTCTTTGCTACAACAAAAACAAAAACAAACCAACATATTACAAATACAAAACCAGACCTGTCATGTAACAAAAAACAAGCAGGACTTCCGCACACACAGGCTTTTAGGTTCATGCTACTGCTGCACGCTTACTAATTCATTCATTAAATGAAGGGACACTCTGGGCTGCAGCACTTCAGGCTGCTAAACTACGTATTTTTGCTTCCTCTCAGGAGCTATTTGTGAAAAATATGGTGTCATTTAATGCCAGTGCCCTTAATCCAAACCAGTACAACACTCCCAACAAACATAACTGTGTAGAGAAACTGTCATCACAGGCAAGAAGAATGGGGCTGTACAGATCTCACAGAAGAGCGAAGCACAAAGAAGAGGGCTAGATTCCCAGTGCAGAGGCCAGGTGAGACAGGCCCTGCAATCCCCTGTGTGGAGCGTGCTGGTTCAGGTGCTTCACAGATGACTTCTTTTCAAGTCTGGACCATCGGCATCTTCAGTGCCATTCCTAACAGGCTGGGAGAAGAGCCTTGGTGGCGTATGCTGCTGAGCAAAGCCCACACAACATACACAGCGCCTCCATACAGTTCTACTTTGAAGCCAACATGGTGGGTAATGCTGTTCTGCAGCATATCTAAATATCACCCTCATAGTCTGTGGTGGAAGATCTCTTAGGCTGTACTACAACCACAGGGAAAATAAAACATACATATATTTTTTAAAAAAAGTCACCTTTCTTCAGATAAAATTTCCATGTCATCAGGTCCTGTTCTGTCTATAGGCCTGGATGAGCTAAAGCTTTCCATACTCTGTAATACAGTAAATGTTAAAGCAGTAAGATATGTAAGAGAAACAGATGCAAGCTGCAGGCTGCTAAACAAATCAGATATAGAAATATCCAACAGGACTTCTAAAACAACACAACAATCAGACTACTGCTGCTGCTCGTTTATACAAAACAAAACCCACACACTTTATTGCCCGTACCCTGCAAAAAAACCAACTGCTCACTGCTTTGTCTCTTTCATCAGACGACCTCAAAATGTCTAAGAGAATAATGATGCACGGTACCCCGCCAGTTCCCATTTTACAGACTGACAGACTGGCTGAGGTTGAGAGCAATTCTGTGCTATGTGGAAGTCCTGTAAGAGCAGGTACCAAAATCCACAGCATCTTCGCAGCAGGACTCCTTATGGTCATCTTGGAAAATACTCCCTTTCTCAGCCAAACCCTTCCCTAGTTTCTTCTTAAATGGGCAGAAGAATGCAAAGAGACTGCCATAGGCACAGAGGTAACGTTAAGTTGCGCTAACATGAACGCAGGGCAAGAAATTCAACTGATTATGACTACTTGTTCTGAAATTTGTCTTGGCTACCATTAGGAACATTAACACTGTTGTACTCTAAGAGATTGAGAAAGTACTGTGAAGACAAGCTGTGTTGCCACTTCAGGCACACTTCCAGGAGGTTTTCTATCCTGGTTTTTGGGCAAGCCCTTCTTAAACAGGAGGAAGTCAGTTAGTAGAATAGAGTGTGGTTCCTGCCCTGGCCCTGGGAACTGCATGCACAGTCTTCTTGGGGCAGTCACAGCCCTCTCTCACCTGCTATGCCTCCAACCCTGTAAGGTGACACAGCTCAGTCATTCCAGCCTTGCTTAATGTGATTTTTCAAGTCCTACTGGTAACTGGCTACCATGTCTCCAAAACGCAGTTACAAGCTTTTAATGCTTTGTGGTTGGTTTGCTCGGGTGAGTAAGTGGAACTGACAGTTTTTCCACCGCTGACTTACACTTTTGAGTCATATGCAATTAGACAGCTAAGAGGAAAGCTTCCACACACTGTCCTACATACTCTTTCAGGCTCAGAAAATGGTGGCTAAGAAGATACAACACCACAAACTTGTTTACATGACAAAGGCCTATTAGTAAATGCTAAGGTGCAGGTAATGTCCTTCAATACTCCAAGCAGGTAGTCTAATTTGGGTTATTATTTGAAGTATAAAGATGTAACCAAAAGAAAGCTAAATCACCACACATCCTTGCTGGCAGTCTCTGAAACGCAAGTATGAAATAAGCGCACTCATGAAAACTTAAAAAGCAGCCTTTGCTCTTCAAGAAGAGCAGCACCGTGCTTTCTGCAAGCTATTTGACAATCCCACTGCGACATTTCCTTTTAGCAAAGCAAGTGACAACCATGCTGATGGTCATCTTGGTCAAACTGCTTTTTGTGCAAGGTTAGTCAACCTTTTATGTTCCTTTCAGCCTTTGCCCCTCAAGAGATCCAAAAATAAGGGGCAGGGCAAAGTCCAGTGGACACAGGCAAGTCTGAGAACATTTCTTCTAGGCATGTTTTAAGACTTCACGATGTTTTTCAGTTCCACAGCGAAAGTGGACACTTCTGTCAGTCTTTCCCAAATCCTGACCCAAATTCTCATTTACATTTAAACTGCTTTATGCTCCACAGGTACAGAGAAGAGGTGCAGAAAAGAGTGTAAGCACTTGACCTTTGCCTATCTTAAAGTCCACTGCTACAAGCAAGACACAAGTGAGAGTGTATCTATGTCACCATGCTCTTTCCTGAAGTATCATATGAGTAGGTTACTCATATTGAGCACTAAATCTAAGCACAGCCTACAATTTTTGGCATCTTGCCTTCTTTTTATCACAAAAAGAAGCCAAATCTGCCTCTCTAAAATCTCTGCACAGAGTAAGAGCATCAGATCATTGCAATTTTGTGACCTAAACAAAGTGAGTCCCAACACAATGTCACATTAAGAAGGAACTCGCTCACAGCAGGCTCAAACTTAACCAAGTACAACCTAAGAAAATGTCCTATAGCTTGAAGGACAGTTTTTTCACACAGCTTTCATTGTTACTAATAACGGTATAATGCATGCCTGGTGCCAGCCACTGGGATGCATAACACTTCTGCCACTGTAAGCAGACCCTGCGTTGAAGCACAATACAGTTTCTCAACTGCTGACACTATAATCAGTGTCTGGTTTGGTTGAGAGGGAAGGAGGGTGCATTCATTTTATTCTGCAGCTTGTAAAAGCTGGCAAACTGTCTTCTACTGTGAAGGTCACACAAGAATACTCTGGGCAAATTCTACAGTACTGCAGATTTTTAGAACATTATATCAGTGTCATTCACCTCCTCAGTAAAAGGTAGCTAGAGGGATCGTCTTTTGGACCAACACACTTCAATGCGTTTTGCAAACTGCAAACACTACAGTAATACACAGACTTTAGGGAGATGGCATAAAACACCTTTGTCATCTCATTATCAAGAAGTCTCTTGTGATCTGTGGTTTCAGAACTTAGCAGGAATATAAAAATAAACTTGACAAACACGTGAACCTAGATCTGAGGTTCCAACCTCCTTGCAAGACTTTTGAAAGACTGGAAAAAAAGACTTACTTCCTTTTCCTCTTTCCAAAATTCTTCGCTGAATTCAGAAGAACAAAGCAAAAAGTTGTGGAAAGAGAAAATGACTGTAGATGGAGTAAGAGGATCATGTCAGAAATACGGCTTCTCAGTTGCTTCATCACAATGGTTACAAGTGCGGGATCCGGTGATCCCTATAGCCCAAAAACCACTTACGCTTGTACTGTAGACAAAAATGGCTACCCAGGGGAACCAGATGTGCACTGAAATAAAAAAAAATCTTTCCCATATGTGTCAAATAGTACAGCATGCCAGCTTACCACAGGACTGTCCTGGTTGTCTTTAAGCTCTGAAAGCCTGGTGCTAGACTTCTGCCGTTTTGGTTTATTCCTTTCACTAAGATATCCAGAGCTGTTGTCTTGCAATTTTTCTACTTCTTGAGCAGCTAGAATACAGTCTTCAAGATTGCTGAATCCAGACGGAATGTTTTCTTTGTTGATGACTTCCCTAAAAAGAAAAAGGACATTACAACAGGAGGTTGTTTAAAACATGCTCTGGCTACATTTATGGTAGCAATAGAGAAATGCATCACGCTGACTGGTGAGTTCCAGCAGCATTTTCTATGCCCTACGAAACCAGTATCTCTGGTTCTTCCTACTGCAGCAAACACAACTGTGCAATGCTAAATCCCATTAAGAAGTGAAAGCCAGATGTATATACCTCAGGTGAGAAAGCCATAAGGATCAACATTTGGGACTTGATTCACTTCCCACTAAAGCCAACGCAGAGAAGCCCATTGACTTCACATGGAAGCTAGAGTAGCTCCTGGCTGTCTGTGGTATTTTTATAGAGGATATGCAGCATATTTTCCTTTGAGACACATGCTTCTAATTTAGACAAGTGATTCACAGCTAAGGTCCAAGGATCTCCTTTGGTGCATGACACTGCATAATCAGCCCTCTTACTCATATTCTCAAATGCAAGAGCAGGACTGTGGTGCTTTAGCCAAATGATCGATTCCTATTTGGGAATTACACAGAAGAGAAAAGGGCATGCATCTCTGCAACGGCAACACAACTGCTGACAGAGGACTGTTCTATGTTGGGAAGAGAACGGGTCAGCTAGCTTAAGTCATCACAGGATGGGTGTCTCTGGGCTAGCAGGGTTTGTGCATGTTTTCCAGAAGCCTGGCACATGGCTTGTCTTGCCCTGCACATTTAGCCTGCTGGATCCTTCAGCACGCAGTTTTCCCTTCACCACCTGTTTAGTAGTCTTCCCTCTACTTTATGCAGTAATGAAGATGCACATACATAACACATCACTACACTATGGCAACAGGAGAAACACAATGCATCTCATTCTTCACCACTGTACCCTGCCGGAGGCTAAAGGCAGGCTGCTTATACTTGACATTGAAACTGGAAAGTTTGCTAACTGTTGTATGTGCGGCTGCCTTATATAGTGCACTGGTGCTGCTGTACAACTCCAAAGCCTGCTTTCACAAACAGCAGGAGAATTTATCTAGGCTCGCTCTGGTGTGACAAGAAACCAGTCAGTTACTCTGCAGTATCTGGACAGTACCAGCACGACAAAGTATTCAGATCAAAAACAAAACCAGAAAGTTTCAGTGATTTTTCTAGATCACAAATCTCTAGGTTTTGATGGTGAAAGAGAGATACAAAGAGGTATTACAAATCTGTGATTAAACTTCTAAGATAACACATTTGCCTTTGTGAAGTTTTTAAAACCCCTTGAGCAGACCAATGACATACATAGCCTGTAGATCGTGTAGTCTGCAAAGCCTGGGAGTTCACCTATCTGTTTTTGTGATAAACACTCTTACTATGTGAAGACCCATCTTGTGACATTACAAATCCTCTTGTGATCCATCACAAGGCAAGGAGATAAAGTCACTGACAATCAAAACAATGACAACAGAAAGAAGTTCTGAAAGAAATTCCTGGTTTTGAGAATTCACCCAAAGGAGTTCCAGCAATCTGACCTAATGGAACCAGGGAAAACAATTTGAACCCTAGCCAGCGTTGAAAACTTCCGATGTGCTTTAAATCTTTGGCTCCAGCTTTACAGACCAAACCTGAACAACTGTGTCAACTGTGTCTAAAGGCAGCTCTGCAATGCAATGTTGAAAAAAACCCTGCAGTACTATATGCTTCCAAACACGTACGCTAGCCAGTCTCTGACCTACTTACCTGAGAAGCCTGTCAGCAGGGCTACTAAACAAGAAAAACTACTTCAGCTGCTACCAGATACTTTGGTGACCTGAAAGTGCTAATTTCCCAGTCCACCTTCACAGCATATTTTCATTCACTATAGAAATGGCTTTTTATTTTGTAACTATGGATTTTTTTTACAACAGTAGCATTGATACATTTTGGGAAATAGTATGGCTGCAATATTAACATGAGGTACTGACGGTTATGCACCTATATGAAAGTGGCTTCATACAGGAAGGTGCAGATCCAATAGGATTTGGGGAATTCAGCACCCAGGAAAAAAAGGCAAGAGACTAAACATTTATTTTGGAATCTATCTTGCAATCCTAGCAATCCAATACTGCAGTCAAGTATACACATTCTTTACAAGAACTAGTGCTGTGTTAAAGCTACACATATGTGTAAGCACTGATCAGACCATGGCCTTCCAATGTCTGTAGTTACAGTTCCTCAAAGATAGCTATGCCCTGTGCAAGTGTTTGGTAAGGCTGTGGTGGTAATACATTTGTACCACACAATATATGCCACAAGTAGAGGAGTATGAAAGGAAAAACACGTATTATTTTTACTTTGACAGACATTTAATGAAATTCACCACTAAATCGTGTTTAAACTTTGTGTAACAGGGTGGATAAAAATTCTTAAATTCTGATTAATCAAAAGAAAGATTTTTCTATCTCAGACAAACTCCAAAGTGTCCTCAATAAACCCAAACATAAGCTGTGCCTCCTCACACAAAAGGGGAACTTGATCTCCTTTTTGAAGGCATTCTGAATTTAGAAAAGCATCTAAACCAAATGTTTTTGATCTAAAGAAAGTTACAGGAAATAGGGTCAACTGCTTGTGAATTTCCACTAAAGCAACAAATACTGTAATGAAACAATCCCAAATACTGTAATTAGAAACTCTACTATATGGTGTAAAAAAAAAAAAATAATTCTTATCATGCTTGGCCCCTCTCCATGATCTCTACTAAACTCTACATTTCCCAGCTCTAACTGATGCAATGGAGCTCTGCACAGGCATTGCAGTCTGCTCTGCACTTTCAACTCAGGTCAAGGGCCAGTGCATTTCACAACAGAACAAAGCATTGCCTTGATAAGAGGACATCACTAGGGTACACTTAATCAAATATACTTTCCAAAACAAAGAAATCAGGCTCATACATGTCTCTGTTTCTCCGGGCTTCCTCCTGCTCTTTGTCATGTCGCCTCCTCTGCCTGGCAGACACATTAGAAGAGGCTGAAGATGTTCCCGATTCAGAGTCCTCTGAACTCTGGCCGCCTGAGCCATGAACATCAAAGAGATGCTGCTCCACGGCTGAGCGGATTGTCTTCTCTAAATACCTGTCAAGCCGAAAAATAAGGTCAATTGAGCTCAAAGACTTTGTGGAGCTCCCTCTCTGCAACAATAAATAAAGCAAGGGTATCCAAGGGTTATGTTTTATTATGGCAAGGCAGTATAAAATGTCCTAGGGCTGTGACATCTGCAAAGAGCTAACCCAAAATTTTCAGATACCCTGATGTTCAGATCGCTCAGAAGAGCTGAGTCTTCTCAATTCATCTTGCTCTTTTTCATTTCTAGGAATGACTGAACTTTCAGTAAAACAGCTAATTTTACTTAGTGCAACTATAGACACTGGTACCTAACTTCCACCCTCCACTTTAATAACACTTGCCTTGACAAAATTTTATTTGATACCTAGCCATGCTGACACCAGTCAAGTCCCTTGGGCAATCCAAGCTCAGTAAGGCAATGGATCATCTGCAAGAAGGTGATTCACTGCTGTCTCACAGAGGGATGACAACACGCAAACACTACCTCACTAGGAACTCCTCATATGCTTAACCTGGTGACCAAGCACAGATTTAGTTCTGAGTTCATGCTGTTTTCTCACTGTTCTTGTGCCATGAACGCACCTACAGCCACCCCTGACTTACTTTGGTGTGAGATCACCGTCACATCTACTGGCAGTAAAAGGGCTTTCACACAAGCCACAGCAAGGGAGCCCCTACAGTTGCATCAGTTAAAGATGTGAGACTACTTCAACTTTCGACACAACCAAATCTCCTTCATTTTGGTACTGACACTTACTTGTAATACTTCCTTCCCTAATCAGAGTAAGTTTTTATGGGCAAAATCTATTTTCCCCCCCAAAAAAAGATCATTTGGAAACACATTTTTGTACATCCCTGCCTCACCCCTTGCAATTGTTTCTTGCAATGCTTTAAATAGTCTTCTGAAGAATGAGTTTTTCAAACACGCCTGTCCGAAGTCCATATACAGTTTCTAGTGCTTTTTCCATCATTAAAAAAAGTTATTTGCAGGATTTGCTGGTTAATTTTCGACTGAGTAAATCTAAGTATGGGAACCTGTACCTGGGCTGACTTCTCCAGAGAATTTACAAAAGTTGTTGCTAAGCTGCTATAGTTGTAAGTCTGCTGAGACCACAGTTCCTGAAAAAGCCAAAAGATCTTAGCAACGCCAAATAAACACATGGTTTAACTAGGCAAGTAGGTCCATGTTTTATGTAGTGACAACAATCCGTCCTGCAAACCCACCAGTCATTGGGAATTTCCAGCCCCGGCAAGGGATCCAACTCATTAGCTTTGCTGTTCCCAGTGATGGGAGCGGGGTTAAGCCCCGTCCTCTGCTGGGATGCAACCGGGCACAAACAAGAGCGAGAGGATGACACAGTGTGAATGGTGTCTCTAAATACACAAGTTCTGCCTACCCAAAACATTGCAGGCACAGTGCGAAGAAAGAACCAAGGGTTTGAGAATTTTTCAGAAGGAAGTGATTTATTATCATTGCAGATGCTTTGGTTTGGGAAATACTGTCTTTTTTTGTTTGTGTAAGATCAACCCTTAAAGAGAAATCAAAGAATAACCAGCAATACTTTAAAAAGCTCCAATGTACAAAAAAGGTAGCTACAAAATTATAAAACAGACACTTACTCTCCTGTAGCAGGAATTTTTTCTGACTTGTGATACGTGGGCACTGTGTAAAAGGAAAAAAAAAAAAAAAAAAGAGAAAGTTAGATCTAATTATCACAACACGGTCTTAAAAACCCTTGTTCTTTGCAACGTTAAGATTTAAAGGTCTGAGCTGACTCAACAACAATTGCATGTGCATGTGCACAAGTTTTCCTCTTAAAGAATTTTCATTCCCACAGTGATGTGGGCACATTTTGACAATGTCAATATCCTCAATAATTAATTTCCCCTGACATTCCCTTTCAGTAGGCCAAAGTCTAACAGAAAGTATTTCAACCTCAGCACATTGCGGATTTGCTTTCTTCTGAGCTTTCTGCTGCTGCAGGTTGTTTTAGCCTCATCACAAAAGTCCTTGCCTTTTGAGGCCGACTTGAAAACGTACACACTGTGAAAGGGGACTTAATAGTTAAGAATCTTTAAATATTAATGGAGGACAAAGGCAAAATACAGGCTTTACACAGTTCTCCTGCTGCCGCTCTCTGATATTCATGTTCTTTGCTTCACATTTTTAAAAATAAAATGTATGCTCTCTTCTTTCTCTTTCCCCTCAGTCTGTTTTCAGGCTCAGGAAGAGCTGATGTGACTGTAAGGTGTCATTACATGCTGTTTAAAGCCCTTCTGAACAAGCTGATGTGCCACCTCGCAGAGCTGTCACTGCTTTCCTCCCTCTGCCAAGCTGAGCCCCATCCTGCCCCCTCCTCCCCCATGCTGACTTAGCTTTGCAGATAAGGTGATGCTTTTTGCATATTCATCCCTCCTGTGATTTTCATTAAGTCAAGTAAGTTACAGGCTTAGGGGTTTCATTTCGATTTATCCTCGTATCAGCAGAGGAATTAGCAATACGACTGGCTTATATACCCAAATAAAATGGCACTGTGTGGCCAGGGTGTACCAGGCTGGATGCAAGATGTGCTTCCTGCCACGACAGCCACTCAGTGCTTTCTGTCTTTACCAGTTTCTCCCAAACTGTTTCAATACAGAAGAACTATCAACAGCTGACTTCCCTTCACTAACCAAAGGTTTCCTCTGCTGCTTCCCTCAAGTATTTCGCACTTCACTGTGCAGATCTAGAGCCAGCTAAGAAGCTGCAGCACTCTCAGATGATAACCGCTCTGTGGCTTTCCTGGATTTGAGTGTCACTTGCAGCGGAAGGCAGGCGACAAAAGGTGAGAAGGGTAAACGAGGGGTCACTGCACCCAGTTCAACAAAACAGCCTAACTCCTGTGGTGAAGTACAAACTCCACAAACACCCAGCTGCAAAATCAGACTCGCAATACGCTTCAACTTCCTTCGGCCAAGCCAGTGCATTCGCCTCTGTGTGGTAAAGCAGTGTGCCCTAACCACACGCATATCCCTTCCAGTCCTAGCTTTGCTCAGTGATCATCTCCAGCCCAGGCACAGGTCCCTGGTGTGGTGGCACAGCATGAAAGCAGCCATGGATTTGCCAGTATATCCCACATTACCCACAGAGCACCCTAGCAGCTGTGTCATTCAGATGATTTCACAAACACAAGACATACAGACAAGTATTACGATACTTCTTATTTGGGACATGCAATCTGCATATAGGAACAAAAATAATTTGCAAGATCCCTCTCTTCCCACATGTCAGATCTTGACTATTAACTACTGGATGGCTTTGCAATTTAAAGTGCACTTTTCAAGCAACCTACTTGCTTTCCTGTTCACTTACATAAACTATTTGGCCTCTTCCCAGCCTGAAACTGTTTTTCAAGACCCGGCCTCCCATGGGAGATGGATTAACAAATAACATGCTAGTGTGGTAGGCTAAACCACATTATAAGATACAATTAACGTGCTGGCTACTGCTCCTACGTGTGTGGGAGTAAGTTAATATTGTATCAACTTTCTATAATATTTAGATGAAATCCATACTGAGTGGGGGTGTCTTTCATATCACACCTTTCTTCTCTGTTTTCATGTCACGAAAGTGGTAGTGGAGGGTGAGACAGTATTGTTTGAATTCTAGTTTTTCAAAAACATACCTAAGATGTAGGCGTATCTACCCATCAGACAAGACAGAAGATCTCAGGAAACAGCTCTTCCCTCTACTTCCAACAGGATTAATACTGTGCAAAAACACAAATTCCTGTTTCACATCAACTTAATGAAAGGCTAGAATACCGTATGCGAGTAAAACTTCATGCCATTAACTGTCTGCAGTGATCAAGGCCAACAGTCAGTATCTGCAAACCACTCACATCATTACTGAAAACACACCAGCTTCTTTACACAAAAAGTAGTAAAAAGAAGCAACAAAAGATAAAGCTGCAGAAATATCCAAGTAAAATGCCAAAAATTTTCATAACACCCCAATGCATTCTGTAGTTGTCTAATTCTCAGTTAACTGTGTGTTTTAGTAACACCAATTCAGTCTTGAGACCATTAACCTTGCTAATTCATAATGATGCATATCTGTGTAACAATTACCTTGTGGTATCTAGAAAAACCCTATTCAGACAACTTAGATTCTGTTGGAGAGACAGCAATATGGTGATTTTCAAACTACCGACAAAGAACAAGGAAATATGTACACAGCTACATGCCAGCTGAGTAGATGACTACAAAATGAAGCTCTGACATTCTGATTTTATTATATTTCCCTTCTAAATAGTACTTCCTTGTATACTGAATATAACTTTATTCTTAGCCCTGTGATATTTTGATGCTCTTTTATTAGAACCCTCTCAATAAGACAGAGATTTTAAATCAATTTTTCCAGATACACTAAGTTTCTTTTAATTCCACAATTGGTAACTCCTTGCTATTTCATTTTGAAGCTTAATTTAAATGCATTGCTAAATCACTTGATCTACCCTGCACCAACATTTTTTACATTGAGGAAGTTAACATCGAAAACAAATGGTGGAGTGGGGAAGAGTTACACGGTGACTTTAGAATTCGAGCCTGCCCAGGGACAGAGCAGGAGCGTGTTAGCAACATGTGATGCACATTGCTAACACAGGGAAAGGCACAGCCCTGTAAGGATTTCACAGTTCAGAAGAGCAACCAGATGGGCGGGGTGTATCCTGCGGGGTTTTCCACTTCTTGGGTGGCAAAAGTCGCTCTGCTGTTGCGTTTACGCTTCGCAGAGCTGGCGAGACGAGCCATGCCCAGAAGAGCCCTCTTGGCATGCCTCAGAAGGGCTGCTTTGCTCTGTAAATCATCAGGATAACAGGAACTCATGTTCTGCTTCGGTTAATTATTTTCTCCTCACGTCTGCTCCATTTCATTGATACATATGGTCAATTATCTCCACAGCTAGATTATCTTTATTACATTATGCAGCTTCTGCAGAGCATGCTGAGCAACAGTGACTTTTGATAGAAATTAAAGTTCTCCTCAGGTGACAGAAAGCAGTACGAGAGTTTCCCAGTGCTGGGACTTTTATTTTCAGCCAGCTAGAAACCTGCATCAAGGCTGTTTTAAGCACTATAAACTCTTGACCTGTCTGCTTATGACCCTCATGCTTTTCCTTTTGTGAAGTCTGACCTCTAGCACTTCCCAGTATTGTCCAACTTGTTTACCAAGTCCTTTGCTCACTTTCAGCTCTGGATAATGTCTTGCTTCACATGTAAGGTAAACTCTTACTGCATGGCCTCTTCTCCCATTGTGTTTCAACCTGAAGCATGGGAAGGTAGTATTTTCCATCACCTTTAAGCACATTAAATCTTCCCTGCCCCTCCCTAACTAGTACTCTCTAGGTTTAAAAGATATGCACCAGAGTGAGAATTATCTCATGCAATACCTGCACCCTGTTTGGTCTGCACTGGGCATCTTGTGACAGCAGGCAAAAAACTGAGTTGGATATCAAACACCCTCCCCTGTTTTTTTAATTCAAGGCATTATTGAGCAAAATGTCTTAGCACTCAGGTATTAAAAGAGCAAAGTAAAAACACTGACCAGAGCAAACTGACTTACTGGCACAGTATTTTCCCAGATTAGGTTTTCATTTATGAAGTCAATGAATTAATTCCTGACCATACTTAATGGCCTAAATCATAAGCTATACTTGCAATCTGGAATTAAGGCCACTCATTGCTGAGATTTATTTACAATCCATCTGCTTTATTCAGGAAGTAAAGCCATTTTTTTTTCCTGTTTTTGTTTTATAAAAGCCAAGCACAACAGTAAGAAAGCCTCAATAAAGGCAAAAACTTTATATCATTTTGCCATTCCAGCAAAGTAGAGGATGTTCCAATGGCTTTGACATTTCAGACGGGAAATTTCTGAAGTCCTCCTGAACATATTATTTCAACCTGTGACCTAAGAAATTCCTTTTTCATACGTATTTATATAGTCTAAACACTGTTCGCTCTCCACAACTGTCCCACACTGCAACATGCAATACTGCAGACTCACATGGGATCTATTTTAAGACAACTACTTAATTTGACACACATTCCCCAAAGAGAAGGACTGTGTATGCATATAATACATGAAAATCGTGAGTTTAAAGAGATGTGCTCTTAGTTACTGGGATGTCCTGTCACACAGAGGACACACTTTCAGTGTTTTCTCAGCACCTTCACATTTCCACAAGCTCAGATCCAATTATCCTTCCTTTAAACGTGGTACATTATATTTGACACTAGCTTTTTACTATGCAGAAAACCAACCCCATTGAAAGCGACTGTCTTGTTTTCTTCATTCTGCTGGTTTTCACTTGTACTGGGATCACCCTGTATGATGGGTGCACACTGACACCTACTGCTTGGAGCAGAGACAACCCTGAAGGGGATTCATACACACCACCTGATTTAGCTCAGCGAATTTGGACAGCTGTGTTTGTGCAGGTTCCTCTATAGAGAAGGAAAATACTCCTCAGGGGGCCTCAGACCTGCACAGTAGCTGGACACTGGGAGCACGGACACCCAGCAGCCTGATGTTTATTTTCAGCCAGTGCTGATGTGATGCAGGACATTAATGTTCATCACACAACGTAATAATGATTTGTAAAAGGGCCTAGCACTTCTGTGGGCCTCAGGAGCTCTTATGGCATGTCTCACCGAGGAAAAAGCATCCATTGGGAAAGGTGGACAAGCAACTTTCTGAGCAGGTGTAAAATGTAGAACAAGATTTTTCAGTTTCTTCAGAAAATTGACCTGAGATCAAACAGAGTAAAACATTTTACCTAATATACTACTGGCTAAGAATACTTGACTTGCATTATATAAAAAGAGTTGTGTCAAACAACAACTGTTAAAAGGAGAAACAGTCAGCTGTACTGAATACTGCCAACAGGATATTAGTACTTCAAGGAAAAGAAGTACTAAAGCAGGTGAAACTGTCCAACGCCTTGCCCTGCACTCATGGGTATCTAATGCAATTTTTGGCATATGCTCGTGTCAGCTCTCATCCCGATTTCAGTTTAATGCCTTGCATGTTAACAAGGAAGCTCCACACTACAAAGCTTTTGTTTTTTTCCCCTGTAATATCACTCTGGCTTATCTCACAATGTACTCATCAGGAAACTCCTCTGAAACCATCTACGTGACTAATGTCAAATCTAAAGCATATATGCCAGCACAAATCCTGTCTGCAGAGTCCCCGTCTTCTAAAAACTCATTGCACATGTTAAGTAGAAGTGTGATTACAGGGAATTAACATTGCCAGATGCTGCTTCATTACCTGAAACTGCACAGTTTCTCAGTACGGATTACTCAGTACAGCTGGCATTCAGTGTCTTATTACAAAATTATACAAGGAGCAGCACTACACACATTTTTTAACAATTTCAACTCCCTTTACCACAAGGTTTCATTACAAAAGGTTTTGGAACATAAATGCCCTTCAGGCACGACTCCCTGGAACAATCAATCACCCAGCAAGGTCTTGCTCTTCTTCTAACAGTACAGAAATCTCCTTGCCTGTATTGAGCGCAGCTGAGTCAACAAATTGTCATACCGAGGAGTACAGAGAGGGAGAAGACAACCATGGTCAGCAGCAGGTGAATGGATTCAAATCCCAGATCTCACGAACTGGTTAAACCCACCTCACCCTTGCAATGCCCAGCAAAAGAGGGCTCCGGCTACAAAATTTCCAATTTTCTGCCCAAATTTATTCATAGCCTGTTTGCACACATCTTCTCTTGCATCAGTATTGTTACTTAACATAAACAATCTTTCCTCTCTGTCTAAAACCCAGAGGGAATGTGTGTACTCTGGTTCATTTTTTATGGTAAACAAACCTTCCCTGTTCTTTTCTCCAGCTTGTAACAGGGTCTGCCTGCTTCTTTAATCGTCTTCACAAATCTAATGCCATTGGAACACGAGCTATTGAAACTGTATGTGGCCTCATCTGACTCTTGTACAAGGACAACCATACTTCCTCCAAGAATACTGAAAATACTTCACTTTATATACCCATTGGCATGTGATTACTTTAACCTATTTTCATCCCGTGACTCCTTTCCA